GATACCGGCTCTCACTTCGGAGCTCCCACGTTCCCCTCGCCTGAGGGCTAACATCTACACTTCAGCACCCAAACGATATGACCGAATTGAGGATTTTAGTTTGTCACTCTAAAATCTCTAATTCTACGCCCGATAATTTTTTATTTCCCTATTTATTTGCACACAACTTTCAAGGACTTTGACCTCTCTAAATCTTGGATTTAATCATCACTTTAGTTGTAAAACTCAACATATTTTAACAAATCAATTGGTCAGATTGAAAGCAAATTAAGATTGAAGTGAAAAGATCATCACAACTTCTTTAACATTCTCATGGCACAACCAATTCAAATCAACATTTTACAAAATCTCAAAACAAGGAGAAAAACATAGAAAACTACTTAGAGCTCATAGAGATCATAAGACAAAACTTGAAATTTATATATAAAAACAAAGTCATACAAACTTCAATAAGTAAATACAACTTATCTTTAATTCTTCCCCAAGCAAACTCCTCGAAGTTCCTCTGAATCTCTTCATTTCTTTACAGCACACAAAATTCTCCTTCAAAGCGGCAAAGAGGAAGAAATCTCTCACTTTTCTTCCACTCTTACATTCTCTCGAATAATTCATCACAATACTAACCACTCTTTACACTAATGAGCACCACAAACAACAAAGACGCTAGTGGACACCCCTTTTCGGCCTCCAAATTATTATTTTTTTAGTTGTAGAAGAGTTTTCAAGAGTTGCTCAAACGTCCCTTCAAAAATCGTCCACATTCAATATATCTGTTAAGAGAACCGAAGAACCGACGTGCTGACGTGCTCGCCGTCGACGACCTCAATGGCGCCGTCGGCGGCCTTCTAGAATATTTAATTCTAGACTCTCGGGAAAAGCTCGCCGTCGGCTCCGTCGGCGCCCAAGATCAAATCATCATATTTTGGTTCGCTCATTTTTACATCTTTTTGCTTCTATGACCATAAGTCAACATATCTGTAACAAAACATTAAAAATATCTTTCTGTAAAGTGCAATATCATCAAAATCAGTGTAAAATAGATATGAAAATCTCAACAGATTTTTCTTTGTTCAGTGGGCAATTGCGATGACTGTCGAGAGACAGAGAGGGGGGGTGCGCTAATGGTCCTAAGCGGGCATGCTTGCGGCGGGACTCGTCGTTTTAAAAACAGAAAAATACATGTTTTTTTTTCCATTTTAAGTATTTTAAAAACAGAAAATGTTCCTTCAAAAAATAAAAAAAACATAAATAAGCGGTCATGTTTGCAGTGGGACTCGTTGTTTTAAAAACATAAAATATATGTTTTTTTCCATTTTGAGTATTTTAAAAACAGAAAATGTTCCTTCAAAAAATATAAAAAAAAACATAAATAAAACAAAAAATCGATAAGAAAATACTTTTTTTTTGTTTTTTATAAACAAAAATTGATCATTATCAGATTTATCAAATTCATAATCCATAGAGCAAATCAATGATGAAATAAATTTATCTCATACACGAATTCATTAAATCTGGATTTAAGTCATTAAAAAAACGAAACCCAAGAGAAAAAATAGCACAACATGAGAAATTTAGGGTGTATTTGTTTAAGCTTTTCTAATCACGATCTGTTAAAAACTTCATTTTTTGCTACTTTTATAGTGCTTTCTGTGGTCGGTGTTTCCCAACCACATTCCTGGGAACAAAAAAAAAACACAAACGTGATAATATTATTTTATAGTGCTTTCTGTGGTCGGTGTTTCCCAACCATTCCTGGGAACAAAAAAAACACAAACGTGATAATATTACTGAGCTCATTGCGACATGCATAAATTTTACCTGAGTCAAAGGCCCTCACATGCCCTTACCGACCACAAGGAGAAAGCCCGCAACCCTCCTCCATTCGCGATATAAGCCTGACCTCGACAACTTTGAGAAAGCCCGCGTTCCAATTAATAGAGCACTGGATTTTTTTTTGTGTGTTTGGTGTTGTCATTGCTTTTTTATGTCATAAATATTGTATGTCTCTGTGATGTTGTGGGAGCATGCGATACTCACACGTGCCCTCTCGTAGCTCAATGAATCCATCAGGATGTTACTAAATGTGCTTGGTCTTCAGACTAGAGTTACCACATCCTAGTCATGTATGATATTGATTATCACTAGTATGTGACGATTCCACTTTCTAGGGGCAAGCCAAACGATTATTTTGAGGCATATGTGATTTGTTCCAGTCATTGAGAGTTTTATGTGTCGTGAAATGCGTGCAACAAATTCCCAAGGCGAAAACAAAAAGAGTCATAATGGAATGGCATGGCCACTCCCAAATCAAGTGTGGCCACGCCTCACCCCTCCCCACAAAAGGTTGAGGGGCTGCCTTCAGCATAGCCACGTTCGAAGGCAGCATGACTACGCCGCAAGATAGAACCCACGACGTAATTACGTCATGGGATGATGTGGACACAATGAACCTCCCAGACGTTGCACAAAGGCTGCCTTCAACATAGGCACATTTGAAGGCAGCATGACCACACCGCAAGATAGTGATAATGGCTTAATTACACCAGGGAGTCGGCGTAACTGCGCCTCTTGAGCCTTTGTGATCACGCCGACCTGACCAAGTTTCAAAAATTGTCCCTGACGGCCCTAGGAAAGCGCGTCACCTAGAGCCAAAATTTCAGAGTTCTCCTTAGGTTTGTGGAGATATGCATGGGGGGTGTTCAATCTGTGGGATTAGCTTCATTTGAAAGCTCCCAAATAGCCTTCATTAGTCTTTTTTTTGACAAAAAAACAAGGGGTTAAGTTGGGGATTTGGTTGGGTGAGTTGATTTTAACTTTGAAAAATTCTCATTTCACTCCCCATTCCACTTCATTTCAATTTTGAGCCGAGGGAGAGCATTTGGAGAGCTTGAGAGTTTTAGAGGGAGAACACCATCTTCTTCCTCGAGAAGCTTCATCTTCTTAGAGTATAGAGTTTTGAGCAGGGAAAAAGGAGGAGGTCACTTCATCTTCCTCAAGGAGAAGCTCAAGGGAGTTGGTCATTTTCCAACTTCTTCTTCTTATTCTTCACCTTTCTTCTTCTCCGACAAAGTCACCGAGAAGTGCGGCTAGTAAAGCTTCATCTGAGCATGGAGGACGGAGGATTTTGGCGAGCTCGCAATCTCTTTGGAAAGGAGAGTGTCCTTCTATGTTGAAGAAAGACTATTCCGGTGAACCTTTCTGGTGATCTCTCCAGAAAGGAGAGCTTCTTTATTTTTTGGGGGAGGAAGGACTTGCGTTGGCTTCTCTCATGTCGTTAAGAGAGCTTCATCCCACTAGAAGAAACACATCCACAACCTTCGTGTTTGTGACATTCTCTAAAGCCCATTTGATTTTTTTTTTAGCTAGCCCTAGGAATAGATTTTGCTATGTGTTTATTGGTTTGGTAGCCACACGAGGCAAATCTGACCAGCCACCCGGTCGGATGGCTCGATCGGTTGAACTATACTGGTCAGTTGGGCATATGCCTTTTGATTGACTAGTTTTGTGGTGTTGTCTTGGGTTTGGTCCCCCGCTCTAGGCAAGTTGGTCGACCGTCACTAGTCGACACGACCATATACCCTATTGATTGGCCGTTTATTTCACAGAGGAAGCCCTATGTTAGAAAGCACATTTGTGGTCAATTCCTTTGCGAGTCTGAGTGACTTCCTATTACAAGTCTTAGCCCTAATCCTAGCGGGTTGAAATCCCAATGCCACATGGCTTTAGCGCTTCCAAACTTCCTTGGAAGAATGATTAAGACTTGGTAGTTAGCCCATTCTACAAGATCATGAAGGTTTGTAAAAAAGAAAAAAATGTTGTAGCTAGTCGGTCCTACAAAAGTTAAAGGACTTCTCCTAAGAGAAATCAAAAGATAAAGTTCGCCATAGCGGGTTGAAATCCCAATGCCACATGGCTTTAGCGTTTCCAAACTTCCTTGGAAGAATGATTAAAACTTGGTAGTTAGCCCATTCTACAAGATCATGGCGGTTTGTAAAAAAGAAAAAATGTTATAGCTAGTCGGTCCTACAAAAGTTAAAGGTCTTCTCCTAAGAGAAATCAAAGGATAAAGTTCGCCACATTCCTCACCAAAGCATGAGGCGGTCATGCATCATATCCAAGAGCTAAAACCCAAGACGCTTATGTGAGAGTGTTAGTTGAGTTTGACTCGATATTGATTGTGACTAATCATATCTTGCACATTGCATTGTATGCTTGCATACTCCTGGGTTTGGTCGCTCACGTTAGAC